TGTGTGTGTGTGTGTGTGTGTGTGTGTGTGTGTGTGTGTGTGTGTGTGTGTGTGTGTGTGTGTGGCAGGAGACAAGTGGGGTCAAAGGAGCCATGCCTAATCCTGTGGGATGTGATGGTATCTTACAGTGAATGGAGATGGGCTGTAGAGATGTGCTCAGTGGTGCACGGATCACAAAAACTTCCTAACTGACAGAACGGACTCCCCAAGGACCGATGTCAAAAAACGGGTGCGAGAAAAAACAAAAGGGAAATAGGCAAACTGCCAGGAATATCACTATGCTTATTGCACCACGGCTAAAAAATATTGGATAATACAGAAAAATAAACTTTCAGTCAAGACTTATAGTTCAAGATTAGATTTGTGTTTGAATGAATACAATGCATTCCATGAAATGCATTTACTTTATTAAAAGTTTTAATTAATAAAACTACAACAAAAAGACCCACTATTCTCAACAAAGGACTTTCCTTTTCAGAATGTAGCCTACTGAGAAAACTGTTGAAATAACATAGTCCTGCTTTTCTAGCACTCTATTTTACATACCAGAAAGTGATTTTTTTTAAATTAGAATTGTAAAATTTAGTACTCCCAGAGACGTAATCTTTGCTCCTGTAACCTTGAATGATTCAGAATTTCAAATTAGGTCAAAACACATAAAAAGTGTTTTACATAGATGATTGAGTGAAACACACACACACACACACACATGCATGCACGCACACACACACACACATACAGTATATGTATAAAATATATTCACTGCCTGACCAAAAAAAAAGCCGCCACCAAATAATAGGTCACACTAATATTTTACTGGATCACCTTTAGCTTTGATGACGGCACACACTCACTGTGGCATAGTTTGGMTGAGATTCTACAAAGTCACAAGATTGATTTCCATCCAGTGTTGCATTAATTTTTCACCAAGACCTTGCATTGATGATGGTAGACGTCTGACCGCTGCACAAAGCCTTCTCCAGCACATCCCAGAGATTCTCAATGGACTCTGTGGAGCCAATCCATGTGTGAAAATGATGTCTCATGTTCCCTGAACCACTCTTTCACAATTCCAGCCTGATGAATCCTGGCACTGTCATCTTGGAATATGCCCGTGCATATTGCAAAAAATAAAAAATAAATAAATAAAAAATCCACTGATGGAATAACCTGGTCATTCAGTATATTCAGGTAGTCAGCTGACCTCATTATTTGAGCACATACTGTTGCTGAACCTAGACCTAACCAACTGCAGCAACCCCAGCATAGCACTTATTTAAATCCAGGTGGTTATTTTTGATAATGAATTTTAGAATTAGATTTGTTCAGAAAAAAAAGGTTGTCATTAGAAAGTGCTCCATGACAGAAACATGTCCTCAGTGATCTGACAGTAAAAGCAGGCTCATCACGTTTCATCAACAGTATTTAACTGGATGATTTGACAGGAATGTAACCATATCTCTATGATGAAATCTTGAAATAGTTTTAACAGTGAAATCCATAATTAAATCAGTGCATTTTGATTGGGACATTGGAGGAGTCTGTTGACAAACAGGAAACATGAATTAGACTTCTTTCATGAAATATTGACTTAGACCTGACTTTAATTTTGACATCTGGCTCATTTTGAGTTATGTAATGTATATTGGCAAACTACTACTTGTAATTAGGAAAATACGAACAAGCTGTAAACACAGCCAGACAAGAAAACACTAGAAAAATATGCAATAAAATCATTACGGAAAACATTTTTAAAACATGTGTCTGTAGGCTATGCATAATCATCTCTACATTTAAATGTATTACAATTAGGTTTATGATTCAGCAGATTACATAATTTCATTGTAATTTAAATCAAACACCTGTATGTAGTTCAAGGCAATCTGGTCCAGTACAGTAAACCTCCACTCATCAATAGACAAAACAAACCGGTAGGTGRCGCAGTTGATCAGTTTTAAAGCCTCCATTAACCCGGAAGCCGTATCAGCGGACCTTTAACAAAACCGGAAGTACCTGTTCACGCAGCCGGTTGTTAGCTAACATGGCGCTAGATGTTAAAAGCAGAGCGAAACGATACGAGAAGCTGGACTTTCTCGGAGAGGGTCAGGTAGGCGGTGATATGTTTTAATATTTTGTGTTCTCGCTGTCGGTTTTGTTAGTTTTTAGGMTGTTTTGTTTGTTTTTCTGATAAGCAGACAGAGCACAAGCGTTAGCAGGTGGCTAATGTCAACAAAGCCCATCTGCTGCAGCTGCATGATGCTGGGTTTGAACGTTATCCACYTCCTTTGTCTTTTCTCTTTAGTTTGCCACAGTGTACAAGGCCAGGGACAAACTTAATGACACAATAGTTGCCATTAAAAAGGTATAATTAAAAAGTGTACCTTTATTTTATTATCATTTCTGAAGTTTTTAGCACAGAACTTGTATTTCTATTGTTTGTTTGTTTGTTTGTTTTTTTTTTTCAGATAAAAGTTGGCCACAGAACAGAGGCTAAGGATGGTACGATATGCCAGTTTTGTGCTCCCCATGTGTTAGCCACATATTACAGTTTTGTCCATGTATTTGCGTTCACTTTTAGGTGTGAATCGGACTGCTCTGAGAGAAATCAAGCTGCTACAGGAGCTGCATCATCCAAACATCATTGGGGTAGATAAACATTGATTTATTCGTGTCTTCATTTAGTACTTTTTGTTATAGGTTTAGAGAAAAAACATATTTTATGTTATAAGTGTTTTTTTTTTTTTTTTAGTGGCAACATTTCTGTTTAATATTTATTTGTCTTGCAGCTGTTGGATGCCTTTGGACATAAATCAAACATCAGTCTGGTGTTTGATTACATGGAAACAGACCTGGAGGTGAGTTTTGCCTCTTTTTGATGCGACTGATTTTCTTATTATTTTTGGTTTATTTGGTTGCACAATTCACACTGGATGCACACAATAAAATAAGCTTATACACAGCTTTTTTATTTGCCTTTGATCTATGTTAAATAGTTTATACATAATATAAAACTGAAATCTTTGTTTCAATGTCTATTGCAATAAAATGATTTTTATCTGCTCTGTACTTATGGTATACATTTCTATACATTGAACTATATAATAAACATCAATGTAAATAAGTTTTTTTCTACTTGAAAACTAAATTAATCTAATTTATTTATTCATAAATAGCCTTGATAGAGTCATATTCATATTATCTGCAGTTTCAATGATGAACTAGGGGCCTCATGTGCAAAGATTTGCTTGTATTTCTTACTGAAATGTAGCGTATGGTCAAACAAATCCAGATGTATCAAACCGTGCATACGCTGGAATACACGCACATTTCATTTGTACATCCCAATCAATGTGGAACTGAGTGCACGTGAGAAGACACCTCCCTTGACATGCCTTATATAGATGCAAATTATTTCCTGCGTGTGTAACGGACATATTTGTGTGATCCCTGCACGATCAGAAATTATTTCTAGATTCAGGAAAATGAATTAAACATACTGTGAGTGAGAAAAAATTATAAGTAAAAATAATAGTAAAATATTTTTGCCACGCAAAGAACGAGTGATTGTGTGTCTGTCTGTGTGTGYGTGCATGATGCTGCTGTTACTGGGTGCGCACCCGACACAGCCATCCCATTCTAAGCCTGGAAATATTAACTTTGCGCACAAGTTTCTTAAAATAATTACTGTAAACACAGAGGAGCTCAGATGTTTGGTAGATCAAAGATCTTTGTTTATTTAATATTTGATATGAAGAAACGAGTCACTGTCACAGTGCGGCTCCTCCTTGCTGTGTTGCGCTCTCAGAGCACCACAGCTTCAATCACAGATTCAAAAAGATTATTCTTAGGAGCTGAAAATGGCTGATGAGCCCGTCGTCATCGTGGACCAGATAATCCTCTCTGTGTATAAAGAAGCGCTCTGCTGTTACGCCATTTATTATGTCCTTCAGTCTGTCCTTGTTAAGGTATTTTTGTCACAACTGTGTACGTCCTTTATCTGTGGATGTGGATGTATTAATTGTTAATCATGTGTGTTTGATGTGAACAATAATCATTTTCACATCATTAACTGTTTCCCCAAATCACCAATGGAACCAGAACCACAGAAATGTGCGTACGCCAGCCGTGAAGTTGGCATGGGGCTGCGCACATTTCTACATTCATTTCAATCGTGATACTTGTGTGTGGAAAAGCGTGTACGCAAGCTTTTTGTGCGTATGCACTGCTGATACATGAGGCCCCCGCTTTTTGGTTGAGGGAATAAAAAAACACGAGTTATTCAAAAACTTTGTAAAAGTATGTGATGTTATTTGTCACATGTGAACCACTAGAAATGCGTCGCTGGTTATTATCAGTTATTCAGACTTATTGGCAATAAGGAAAGAACACCTGAACGTTAAACAAGTCTGGTAAATGTGACATTTGTGACTGATTTTATTTGAAGGTTTATAAGTGAAGGAAAGGGGGAAAAGAGATCAGATGACAAGAGTAGCAAGCAAGAGAAGTTAAGATGAGCTAATTAAAGCTGGCATGAACTGGGACTTTTAATTTTTCATTTCCATCTCTCACTTTTTTGCATGCAAGGTTCCAGATAGATGTCCACCACTAATGTATTAGACTTTAACAGAGCAATGACCAAGATAGACATGCTTTAAAAAAATCAATAGCACTCTTGTCTTGGCTCTTGGAATGCATTTATGCCACTAGTGGCTGTCAGGCGGCGGTCAGCAGAGACATGAGGGTGAAATATGAGGCTCATCTTTTCCACTAAAGGTGCAAACCTATTTCAGGTTGCATGTTTACTTTTGTTTTATCGTGAGTTATGCATGCCGTTTCAAGTAACAGCATCTTATATTTAACACTTCCAAGTGTTTCCAGAGCAAATGTAAGTATTCTTGTGGGTATTCAGGTATATGAAACTGTTTCTGTTCACTTTCCTCTTCTAGTTCTTCARTTTAGTTATTGTTTTGTTTTCTGCTCAGAAGGACGCTAGTTTGTTCTGCCTAAACTTTTGTGAAAGATCATTTTTATAAAATATCCAGCTTTTGCTTCAGGCTTTAAATCTTTTGTTGTTTGTGTTGTTTTTATAGGTTATTATCAAAGACACCAGCCTAGTCTTGACTCCAGCCAACATTAAAGCCTACATCCTCATGACTCTACAAGGATTAGAGTACATGCACCAACACTGGGTCCTACACAGGGTAAAAGCACCGAAGCATCACTCAGACGTATGTGACTTGTGCACAAATGATATTCATGATGGATAATTTGTTGYGTTTTTATATCCAGGATTTGAAACCCAATAATTTGCTGTTAGATGGGAACGGAGTGTTGAAGTTGGCTGATTTTGGTTTGGCCAAAGCTTTTGGCAGCCCCAACAGAGTCTACACACATCAAGTTGTTACAAGGTCAGAGCTGCTTTTATTTGAGTTTCACAGTACTTTTATTTTATTTTTTTTACCCCTCTCCAAAGGCCCATTTTTTACCTCCTAATCCGGATGGTAGTAATTTTTGACTGTGCTTGTTTATCCATCTCTTCTAGGTGGTATCGCTCTCCTGAGCTCCTGTTTGGTGCCAGAATGTACAATGTGGGTGTTGACATGTGGGCTGTGGGCTGTATCTTGGCTGAATTGTTACTTCGGGTACATAAAACTCACTTCAAACAGAATTTAACATTGTGGTTTGATGCTCTTATTTAAAGTTAAATTCTAATTGTTTCCTTCGCTGTAGATACCATTTCTTGCTGGAGACTCGGATCTCGACCAGCTGACCAAAATTTTCGAGGCTTTAGGAACACCTACAGAAGAATCATGGCCTGTTGGTTTCTGTTTATCTGGTGAAGTTCTCTTTATTTAGCTGAGATGTGAGGATTATCGTAATTATTTTATCTCTTTGCAGGGAATGACTAGTCTACCCGACTATGTGTGCTTTAAAATATTTCCCGGCACGCCTCTGGAACATATATTTAGTGCAGCTGGTGATGATTTGCTTGAGCTGCTACAGGGCCTCTTTACTTTCAATCCTTCGACGAGGACCACCGCCACACAGGTATATGGCACTAAAGCAAAATAGCTGTCATTATTTTTGGTGTGTTAATTTTATTAAGAGAAATGTATTTAAAGGGATCCCTGATTAGTTGTAACATTAGACTTTATTTGATAAACATATGTTTTAACTGTAAAATAAAGACTGTAAAAATACTGTAGAATGTTCAGTTTTTATCATTTTTAAAAATATATTTTAACATGGACTGAGCCATTTTGTTTACACGCAAAGCATTCTGGGTAAATGATGACATGGATAGGTCCTCGGTGTGAGCGAGCTATATCCACCCTGAAGGTTAATCTTGRACAATATCTGAYGATYGACTCTTTKAAATGAAACCAGAGAGCGTTGACAGAGAGGAGAAGGTAGAAATGACTCAGCCTGTAACTGAAAATATGATGGAGGACAACAGAGCTGCTTCATGGAAGAAGAACCTCAGCTTAGCCTGTTAGCCTTTGTGCTAGCGCCGACGCTATATTGCCTTATATGTATTAGCGCAGCGCTAGCGCAACAAACAAACAAGCTAAACTGAGGTCATCCATCCATATTTTCAGTTACAGGCTGAGTCATTTCTACCTTCTCCTCTCTGTCAACGCTCTCTGGTTTCATTTAAAAGAGCCGATCATCAGATATTGTCCAAGATTAACCTTCAGGGTGGATATAGCCTCGCACTGAGGACCTATCCACGTAATCATTTACCCAGAATGCTTTGTGTGTAAATAAAATGACCCCACGCGTGTAATAATTTTTTTAACTTTAATTTAAAAATTATAAAAACTAAACAGCCTACATTATTTTTACAGTCTTTATTTTACAGTTAAAATGTATGTTTATCAGATAAAGTCTAATGTTACAACTAATCATGGATCCCTTAAAAACCTTGTTTACTTTAGAGTACAGCATGTCTGCACTAAGATTTGATTGATGGCTGTGAAATTGAGTTTTTCTTTACAGGAAAAACGTTTTAATCAGATTATTTTGCACATCCAGTTAAGACTTTACAAAACCAATTTTAGGATGTACATACTGTACAACACATCATGTGACTGGGAAGATGTCAAAGATATTTTTACTCGGTCTCTTTTCTTTATTTTATTGGGAGCATCATTTTTTTGCACATTACAAATGTTTGATATGCACTATATTTGGCCACCTGAACTGTATGGAGTTGGTCCTTCTTTGCAGCTGTAACAACATCCACACTCTTAGAAGGCTTTTCACAGGACTTTGAAGTGTCTCTGTGGGGACTTGTGTTCATTCATGCTGTAGCCCATTTCTGACGTCATTCTCTGACGTCAGAAAAGAAAGTCTGGCTCGTAACCTCTGTCCTAGTTCTTCCCAAAGGTGCTCAGTGGGGTTTGAGGTCAGGGTTTTGTGTGGGCCATTTAAATTGTTTTACTCTGAACTCATAATACCATGTTTTAATGGACTTGCTTTGTGTGCTGGAGATAGTCATGTAAGAATAGAAAAAGCCCTTCTTTAAAGTGTTGCCACAAATTTGCAAGTATAATATTGTCCGTAATCTCTTAATATGCTGAAGTATCAGGTTTTCCCATCACTGAAGATAAGGGGCCGAAATCAAACCATGATTAAAACATCTGGTTTTAAAAGTTACCAACTTTGCCTCAGTTACGTAAACCCACTAAGAATAAATAAAAAAGTACTCTTTAAAATTAATGTCTGTGTGGTTTTATATAGTAGTATCTTTCTGCAGGTGTCATGTTGACCACATTATATTTTGTTTTCCCAGGCTCTAAAAATGAGGTACTTCAGTAATCGACCAGGTCCTACCCCCGGTCCACAACTCCCGCGACCAAACTGCTCGGCTGAGGCTTTGAGGGAAAAGGAAACAGTTGGACAAAAGAGGAAAATAGAAGGCCTGGAAACGAGTAATAAATAACTTACTGCCTCATGTTTTATTTTCCATCTAAACCTGTCTTTACTCACTAAAAACCTGACAACAGTTTGTTCATTGGGTCTGTATTTAAGTTACTCAGCAATGTGTTGGGTAATTTGTTCAAATATGAGCAGAAACAACAGGAATCATCATCAGGGTTGGAATTCCAGTCCGAATCTGTATTTAATGAACTTCAGGTTCTCATGGTCTGCATACTGAACATATAAATCAAACGCACCTCTACACTAAACCTAGCAATTTAGTGGGYGTTGGCCTGCATTTAACGCTCAAGTTAGAAATTCAAAATATACTTAAAGGGAAAATGCAAGCACAGTTCAGTGGGYGGAGGGAAGACTTAGTAAAGTAGAGCCTTGATGTTCCTGGGAGGTTCAAAGCTTCTCCGGCCTCTCTGTGGTTTGGAAAATGTTTGGGTTTGGCTATGTTCTGTACRACACTGCAGAGATTTTCATGAGACTTCTTGTTCGTCTGTATTAAATGTAATAGTTTTAAACGTCTCTAACAACTCCTGTTTGTATATTTTCAGCTGTAATGAAGAAGAAGCTCATTTTCTGACCAGATAGGATGGAATAAACCAGAGGAAACAACAATCTTCATAAYAGAGGAAACACCGCTGGAACCAAAGAAGGTCCAAAGTCAAAGGAGGCCGGCTCAGATGTGGTTCACTTTAAGACTTTTTAGAAGTTGTAGACAAGAGTTACCCGAGGTTAGCTCCAGATATSCAGTGTGCCATTATGTCCGCGTCATCGTTGATTCTAAACTCTGTGATCCTGTTGGATTATTTTTATTTATTTGAGTTTTGGAAAAAACAACCAAACTATCAAGGCAGAACTGTGTCATAAAAGTTATTATTTTTTATGTTTTTTTTTTTTTACATGAATTGCCAATAAATGTTAAATGCATTTATTAAATTTTGAGTTGTGGTTTGCAGTTTCRGGCACCGTGAATATATGTGATTTATTGAAGTGAATAATATTTAGAAACGGGTATAAACTCGTCACTAGTTTTGGGTAAATCTGAGTAAATACTGACATATTTCTCTTCACTGATAGTTCTCTAATATGAATCAGCAGTTTCACCAGACAGGATCCTGATGCTCAGTGCTGCTCTGTTCTCAGACAAAATCAGATTACAGAAGATTTTGATGGAGGGAAAAGATGTGTCCTTCATRAAAGTCTGCTTATCTTGTTCCAGAGTACATTCATATGTTGTGTTTACTGTTGAAAGTTTATTGTGATATGTGGATTTGCTTTAAGATAAGTGACAAAAGTCCCAAATATGAGTTACTACCTAAAATCTCAGAAAAAAGCCATAAACTGTTCATTTTCTTTAGAAAAAGTCTCTCCAGTCAAACTCATGTCTATTTATAAATGCCCACAATAGAGCTCTGACTTTGAATGCCAGCTGAATAATGGCCGACTGAAAGAGTGAATGAATCATATGACCGTTCTGACAGAGCTGCAGTGGCAGCATTATCAGCTCAGGCTATGTCAAAAATCAGCAGATGATGAACTCAGTGACACTGAAACACACATCTAAAAACCAGATAAATGAACTGATCAGGAAGAAATTAGGTGTTTTCCCTTTTTGTCTAAATGATTTTTCTTGGAAATAGCTTAAGAGTTTCTGAGGACGCTTCAACCAACAAAAACCTCAAGAAGCTTTCTGAAACATAAAACCTAACTTATTAAAAGAAGAAACGTAAAGAGAAACACATGATGTGACTTAAAACTACAGCTAGGCAGCTTTTTTTATATCATGGCCCATGTTGATTTAGTTAACGGGGTTGAATGAAATTTTTAAAATGAGCACAGTATGCTGCCTGATTGTTACATTTTTATAGATTGTTAAATTGTATGTTTGTTTTTTTTGGTTGCTCAGCTTCTTCAGGGTTGCCACAGCGAGCGAAACTCGTGTGAAAGTTTGGCAACTGTTTTTACATTCGAATGTCCTTCCTGTTGCAACCACAGACCACTGAGCTACCAGCACATTATTCTTTGTTTATCATCATCAGCCAAACCCTGTCCTTCAAGAGTCATCACTAAAACCCTGCTTTCATTACATCACGTTTTATTTTGCATATGTTGTCTGTTAAAACTAATTCCTGTAACGTCCTGATGCATCTCAGTAATCCAGGTAAAAAATCAAAAGGAAAAAAAATTGTATAGGTCTTCTGGACGGGTTCTTCTTCAATGAAACGTTTCTTCTCTTCTCCAAGAGACTTCTTCAGTCTGAGAGTTTCAGGCAAAATTCAGGCTTTTGAGTCCTGCCTCCAGGTGACTGATACTCACACCACATGGCTATCGTTCACACCTAATTAACACCTATTGTTAACAGGGGGTGGAGTGATACTGCCAATGGCAGCACTGTAGGAGGGGGACAACTGAAAACGGAGGCCTCCACCTCTGTTTAATGATGGACAGTCTTTCTTTACAAAAATGGCTTCTTTTACTCCTCTCTCAAACCAACGTTCCTCTCTATCAAGAATGAGAACATCCTCATCTCTGAAAGAGTGACCGCTGGCCTGTAAATGAGTGAAAACTGCAGAGTTCTGGCCATTAGAATTAGCTCGTCTGTGTTGGGACATTCTTTTGAACAGTGGCTGCTTTGTTTCCCCGATGTATAACTGGTCGCAGTCCTCCTGGCACTTAACAGCATATACAAYATTGCTCTGTTTGTGCCGGGGCACCGGATCTTTGGGGTGAACTAGCCTTTGCCGTAATGTGTTTTGGGGTTTAAAAGCCACTGGGACATCATGTTTAGAAAATAAACGTCTCAGTTTCTCCAAAACACCCGCAACATACGGAATAACCACTGGTTTGGGTCTGGGTTTGTGGTCTTCATTTTCACCTGAAGGTTGCATGGAATCCTGTCTGTGTTTCCTGTCTGCTTTCAAGAAAGCCCAGTCAGGATAACCACACTGCTCCAGGGCCTGTCATGTGTGTGATTTCTCTTTCTCCCTGGCTCCTGGGTTTGTAGGGACACTGTCTGCTCTGTGGTACAGAGTCCTGATCACTCCTAACTTGTGTTCCAGTGGGTGGTGGGAGTCAAAACGCAAATATTGGTCTGTGTGGGTGGGCTTACGATACACGCCAGTTTCCAACCGTCCTCCATCCGAAACCGAGACATCGCAATCCAGGAACGCCAACCTGCCATTTTTTACATCCTCTCGTGTGAACTTAATTTATACATCCACAGAGTTGATGTGATCAGTGAAATGTTGGACTTCCTGGGCTTTAATTTTAACCCAGGTGTCGTCAACATATCTGAACCATTGTAGTCAATTGGGTGATTAACGTTTGGTTATGACTACTTCAGAAAATTAACATTAGAAAACACTGAAACAACTACAATTAGTTTTACAGACACTGAGATAAAATTATAGCTGGGAGTGACCTCCAGGAAATCTGAGCTCTAGCAGATTCTGCAACATACAACATTTGTGTCACCGTGCATTGTCTTCAAGATTTAATCCACATGGTCATAAATGTCACTTCCCAACATGCAGAAATGAAAACTCACAGGAATGATTTCAACAAATGCTAAAACCTTATGAGGACCAGATTGAGATGGCTCGGGCCGCTTCTGGCCCACGAGCCTTCTTTTGCTTTTGTGTGCTTTAAAAATATTAAAACTGGGTTCTGATAGTTTTAAGTGTCAGGTTGAAAAGAAAACCCAAAAGAGTCAAATTCTTTCTTTTTTTTGCCCTCCCTTGTAAGGAGTATTTTATGACCTTTCTGACGGGAGGGAGCTGCGTGTCGGGGTCGGGATGTGCGGTGGGAGGAGATAAGGAGGAGGAGGAGAGCATAGCAGCAGGAGCAGCGGCGGGAGGCAGCACGGCGGACCGAGTGGCTCGATAGTTTTAACTGCTGTTGGTGATTTAATATCGAGGAGGACGAAAACAACAAAGAAAACCCGTAGCTCGTCTTACTTCGAAAAGGATACATCAGATTTCGTCCAGGCAGGATGTGTACTCCGTGCTGTTTCGCTCAGGTGAGGAACAATAGCCCGCTCGGTACTTCTGCTGTTTGTTTTCTTCTTCTGTGGTCATAAACCTCACTATCATTGCGTTCATACAGCTCGTGTCAGCGTCTTGTTGTCAGCTAATGTTACGGGAATTTACAGTTTAATGGATTTACTGCTCACTTACTGTCATTAACTCACATCGTGAAATAGACGTGTGCATAATGTATCCACAGAGTCGGCTGAATAACGTCACTCGTGATAAAAATGCAGACAGAAAAAGCTCGAGCGAAGCAAAGCTAGCTGGAAGAGCAGCTGCTTTTCAGCGGTAACGAAACTGACTTTATAAATGGGTTTTATTCTGACAGGTTACAGCAGAATTAAAGGATGTACGTGGTAATAAGGGAGTCTCTCTTTGAACAGCCCATATTAGGTCCATCTATTCATTTTTTTTTTTTTTACTTTTTAACTCACAACACAGCAAAACTTAAATGGTCTCTCTTCCCATTTTTAAACAGTGTGAAGAAATGTGTTGTTTTTTGTCTTATACAATTGTAAAAGTCGATCAGATAAACTAGGTTGCAACAATATGAGTGGAAGTTGTAAAAGTTTCATATAATCTGGAAAGTAGTTTGTTTATTTTATTTTTTTATATTAAACCTTTTTATATAAACATGTTTTAGGGAACCGCAACTATTGGTAATCCTTTCAGAAATAGCATTTTTAAGCAACAATGCAGTGAATGTTGAGTGAATGAGTAATGAAATCTGCTGAAAAGAGTTGAAGCTGAAGGCTAGCTAAATGAGCTAAAGGCTTTCTAGATCAGCTGATGCAAGAAAGACAAGAAGAATGCAAAATTAATCAGCTGAAAGCTAAATTTTAAAGTATGAGGTCAAGAAAARTGAGCTAAAGACGACTAAACATGAGCTAATTGAGGTGAATGCTACTGTTTGAACTAAAGGCTAGCTGACTGACCTGATGACCTAATAAATGTCCATAGAGTCAAGCTAGATTAGCTGATCTAGCTAACTAGAATGAGCTGGAGGCCAGCTAGATGAGCTGTAGCATAGTTGGCTGTACTTAAATGTAAAAATTTAAGGTAAAGGTAAATGGTAATCATATTTTGTGCAGCTGAAACAACTAGTAACCATAATTTGTGAAGTGAACAACAGTCAACACTAATTTTGTTGATTTTAGACCATTTTTGAGCAAAATTTTCTTAAGTTAATTATTGACAAGTTTCAGTTTTTTAGTTTAAAACCTGCATTTGGCCTGCACAATAAATTTTAGATTGCCACACCACATTTTTGGAAAATGTAAAATTAAAAAGAAAAAGAAAATGTTTTGTTGTCTCTGAGTTATGTGAAGGTTACACTTTGGAGTGTTAGAATTACTTTTTTAAAAGACACGCTATAAGTAAATGAGTTTTATTTTATTTTTTGTTATTTTACAGCTAACGGCTTGCTCTTGACCACGGTGTCACTGCTGCCAATTACACATGCACATCCCTCATCTAAAGGGGGCTCACTTCCATTTCCTGTTCTTTTCAAAGATGGAGAATGATGGAAACAGGGCGGGATTAGGCTAAAATGAAGGACAGACAATAAGATCTGTTGTGTGGCGCTGCGTGGGGAGTGTGCTAATCCCCGTCACAGACGCCCCATTTAGTTTGTCCCCATCTCTACTTCTAATTAACTTTTTTTTTCTGCATTAGGGAAGTAAGTGCTGCGCTTTAGGTTTGAAGGGGCCCAAGCTGTGTGGTCTGGTAATATCCTCCCTGGCTTGAAGGTGGAAATTAGAGGAGGGTGGGAGTTGTTTGGGTTACATTTGAAGTGAGTGGATGACAAAGTGTGGGAGGAGACAGATTTGTTATTCTTACTGGGATCAGTGGCATGCTGCAGGGAGCTAATGGGGAAAGCTTCATTTCAATATGGTCCTAAGTGTTGGATGTGTTGGTGGGGTCTGGAACGGGACAGGCGTCTTAAGGAAACTGGATGAAGAGTAGACATTATTCTTATACTCTGTGATGAAAAAGGAGCAGTTCTGGTTCAAGRGTTGATAAAGATACACATTTTTATTTTAAGACCTCTTATTCACAAAAAAGATTTGGATTCTAATTCTAATATCAGTAATTAAAAACTAAGATATTTTATTATTAAAAAGGAGACTAATTTAGGCAGTTATTATAATCTTTCTATTTTAAAGCCCTACCAAATACAAAACTGCACAGTCATGACAACTCTTGCCCAAATAAAAGATAGGAGACATTATTCCTGCCACTGAATTGTTCAGTGGGGAAAAAAGGATCTTGGTCACATTCTTGTAGAGAGAAAACTACTTAAAAAATTATTGAGAAGCTGAAAAAAAAAGCATGTGTATTGTATGATAACCAGTCAACCAAGACCTGTTCACTTCTCATTTATCTGAACTGTCACACTGCAAACCTAAACCAAACGCCTAAAATGATTTTTGGTGGCTGTTTTTCTTCGTGACTGATAAGG